GGTTTGGGAACCACTGCACTTTGGTTCCCAAAGTTGAGCTTGGGACCCAATTACGGGTCATGAAGCACCTTGGATAATCTCATAGGGGTAATAAAATAATTACTGATGTAATATTTTCCCTAATTATTACAAAAACACAAAATAAGTATAAGTATTTATATTTGTGTAAAAGCTGTTTAGATTTTCAAAAAGCCTGTGTTTTTAGGGTTATTAACGAAGTTCGTGTACTCAGACCAGTAACATTTGGGGTCACATGTTTTTGCCATGGATATTTTGTGGGTCAGAAGACAAAAAGTTTGGGAACCACTGGTCTAAGTGATTGTGAAGCTACTTGAGCAATTTGGATCTCAACAATCATTTCATTAATCATTTAGTAAGTAACTTTTAAAATATATGTATATATTTTACTGTAATGCGTTCATCTCTGTCATCCAAGTTGGCACCATCTCTCCTCCAGGAAATTGTGGGTTCTGGGTGTCCACGGGGGGGCTGGCACTCCAGTACTGCGGGTTCACCAACGGCAACCATAACGTCGACAGGGTTTTGCCTGAAGTCGTCACGCAAAACTGAAAAATATTCAAAAAGCAAAAATCATTATTAGGGAGTGGCATTCATTGATGTTTAAAAATAAACATWCAAAGGTAAAAAGTGCCGTTTTACATGAAATTCTCACTGGATTTTTAAATGTGAGAATTTTCTGATTGTACTGTATTTTCTGCTTTATGTAAGACCTAGTGCATTTTTTTATTTTGCTGTTACACCTATTAGTCGGCTGCCTGCCCTTTCTTTGCTAGTTGTTTTTTTTTGTGTGTAGACTAAAAGCTCTCAGACAGCTTTATAGATGACTTGTCCTGTCGAGAATATGACCTTACAAGTTGCATCTCTTGCTTGACCTTCTATCATTTTTAGGGCATCAAACCTGGCTGTTGTCCATTTATCTGAAATGTTTTATTTTATCTCAGTCAGGGTCATTTTGTTGTCTTACTCAAAACGATACTACTGACACATGCTGCCAACTAATTTACTTATTTTTTCTAAGCCATCTATAAATAAAAGCAGTAATAAGAAAGGTGGGATTGAGATATATCCAACAACAGGAAGCACAAAGCGACCACAGCAGTTTATCATCTTTCCTCAKTGAGTAGCCTGTTTGCTGAGAAAGCAGCCACAAGCTGAACTGGAGACGAAACAAACTCACATCTAATCCATAAGGGTGTCATTTCCCCTGGTTACAGACAGCTCTCATCACTGSTGTAAACAGTAGACCAAGGCCTTCACTTAGCATCTCCAGCAAGACCAGGTCATAGGTTCACAGTTTAACATGGTGGTCAAAGAAAATGGAACTGAAGTGTGCTTAAGACAAACAGGGATTATCATAATGTAAACAACTTTTCACTCAGTGTCTCTGACAGGATTTTTGCCCACAGTGCCGTGAACATGTGCGGATGTAGACGCCTGTGCACGAGTGACTCCTGTTAAGCATTCCCAGTGTTAAATTACAGGGGTGGGCTTAGAACCCGAACAAGCCAAAGGGAGCTGGGCCAAGATCGAGTGAGCAGAACAGCAGAACTTAGTGGACTTGAGTTGGGGTGAAAAGACAGGAAACAACGAGGAAAAAGCATAATCACTCCCAGATGGCAGCAACTTTTTCATCACCGGCTACAGTTTCTACATAATGCTTTGCAGGGAGGCCAGAGATGCCTGATGAGCTCCGTCACCCGTAGAAGAGCAAATTGAAACAACTTTCTAATTGGAACTCTTATTTTACTCTGGTCCGCCGTGTTACCCGTCTAATCCTTTGAACACAGTTGCGACTAACTTTCTGCATTTGACCGAAGGCTGATGGGAAACAGCTGTTTGACACCCCCAACCCTCCATCCCTCACCACCGCCAACAACACCATGTCACATGATAAAAGTCCTTCCTCCTGGGACACTCAAACATGGCTGAAGTTACCCCAGACAGGAAGAAACTGAGACCATCACAACTCTGTGTACAGTGTGTGTGTACGTGCTGACTGATTGACTGATACAATCTTATAATTCTAAAAGCAATCAAAATACACATCTGCTTTTACTATTGTGTGAGGGGCCTGATTGTTCCCATAGAATCTGAAAGCTTGGCTTATTTCCTCAAACACATTTGTTAAAGATTTACTTTTGCACTCAGTGTAAGAAAATAAAATGTGGAATTAAAGTTTAGAAACATATTGTTTTGTGTAAAAGTGGACAGGAAATAGTTATCTAGTGGATGTGCAACAAATAGCATTTGTAAAGCATTTGCTTTACATGTGTTTTATGTCTTGGAAAAAGACTACATGTTGGGTTGGTGTAACTCGTGACACCAAAAAAAAAAAAAAAAAAGAAAGAAAAAAACATATAAATACATATTTATGGTCTTTCATTTTCAAAGCTATGAATGAGTTTCAGCTTCTTTGACAATATAAATACACTTTTTTGTTGTTTTGTTTTGTTTGTGAACAAGGCTTGGACAGTTTGAAGTTATTTAGTTATCCCGCTGTATCAAAATGTGGTGACTTTTGAGGCTCAGAAGATGCCCAATGATTTTACTGGCACGTGTTCTGATCACCTCAGTTCATTAAGAAAAACAAGCTGAGACACCCCCGGACGTCACACCTTATAACCTCCAATCAAGGTTAAAAAAAAAAAAAAAAAAAAAAAAAAA